TTAGGAAGTGATTGGAGAATGCAACAGCAACACAAAGCTCAAATGACTGATAATTTCCTCTAACTTTAAAACCAGCAGATGGTGACTGAGCACAAAATAATAGTGATTACAATCCCAGGTATTAGAGTGGGCTAAGCCAAGATGTACTGCGTATAGGAATCGCATCCACCTATCTATTTTATATTAATGTAATTTCATTTTTATTCATGAGCAGCACAAGAAAATAAAAAACAAAAGCGTGAACGCTATGGTCGCTGGGTAATATAGTACTTTACCGATCGTACTTGCGAATGCATGTGTGGGAAGTACCATGAAAATCCAACAGAGCTATAAATAATATTCACCGTCTTTTATTCGTTTTGGCTCAGCGAAGTATCATTTATACCGCATATATATTAAAATCTCGCACGAACTGTAAATATTTTTAACGTTTATTAGACGGTACATGACCAATGGACGCGGACTTCATAATTCAAAACAGTGGCGTACTTGTTAGTTGGGATGAAACTAATATATCAAGCTCAGGGCTGCCAAACACACCACATTTTTTTGAAATTTTTATTTTGGTGATAAGTAGCTGATGCCACATTCACTTAAAATTAAAAAAAGACGAATTCCCGATTTAAGAAAACAACACTGTGAAACAGTGTAACGCTTCCTTTCCGCAAGAAGTCCAGAAAAGATGGAATGCAATGAAGATTCCAACTTTTCTGTACAATCACAGAAAGGGGGTTAGCATTAGCTTCCGGTAGCTCAGTCGGTGGCATGAAGACATCTACAGGCGTGTAGCTGTGTGTCGACGATGGCATGGCTAGAGGATAGAAGAACAAACAACACAAAAATTTAACAGATTTTATTTAACAAAAAAAGCATTTCCATTACATTACAATTTTACAGTTTTAAAGAACAGAATAAGTTTTACATCTTTGGCGCTGCTATAAAACTATCAACTTATCTTTCGCTGGTCCATTTTGACTCGACTGAAGCGAGGATGGCCAGGTGCTTGAAGTGGAGGTCCCAGTTATGAGGGGTGAACTCACATATAGTGGCTTCAAAACCAGTTGTAGGCGAAGTTGAACTTAAAGGCGATGGCGCTGCCAAGGCACATGCATGGGTGAAGTGATAGGCCAAGAAACGCAAAGTCAAAGACTAAGGCAAAAGCAAAGTCAAAGACAAAGGCAAATGGAAAGGGAAAGAGAAAGAGAAAGAGAAAGAGAAAGGGAAAGAGAAAGAGAAAGGGGGTGGCCCCAATCATTTTGTCCTATACGGACACACATTCTACAAAATTCTAGCACATGGTGCTATATGACCTTGTGCTACAGAGAAGAAAATTCTTAGCTCTTGTTCGATCGGCGGCTCAAGTGAAAAGGAAGCGCGAGGAAGATCGCAGATCAGGAACTCCGCATCAAGCGCCCTCCAAGCGGAAAATTTTCCAAGTAAAAAAGCTAGAGATGGGATTAATGAAATGATAATCGAGAAGTGATTTAATAAATACGATCGGACGGTGAAACCGTTACAACAGGGCAACATCGCGTGCCATTTGTATCCTGCTACCTAACTGCTTTACCTCCATCTCCGAAAATGAGTGGTTACCAAACAGATTTGAATATACACTATATTCTTTCACTTTCTGGCGAAATGAAACTACATATGTATAAATTACTGCTTACTGACGTTTCTTCCACCACGGTGGGCTTTTCCAATATCAAATGAACTGTCATATGGAAGGCAGATAAATGCTAAATATACTTATTGCCATTGCCACTGTAGTTTGAAGAAGGTCACCGTGATGGCCGAAATGTCATATTGGATTAGATTCTGTTAAAAAATTTCGATAAAACAAGAGCGCTGGACTGTAGAGACGTCCTGGCGGCCATACAGATAGAATAAGGCAGCTACTTGGGGGTTTTCTTCCAGCTACAGCACACTGAGCACTTGCTGGTGGTTAAAATTTGGACTTTTATTGGTGATTTAACGAATTTTTGGATTCTGGTTACGAGAACGTGTATATCGAACTTATATTTTCGGATGTGAGTTAGGTGATCTCTCTTCTGCCCATGATCCAAGTCATTTATATGTGATTTCATTTTGACTAAAAAATTATGGAGTCTTAACAATCTTAAAACCACATAAGCTTCAGATGTTACATTAAATTTTACAAAATTACGTTTTGTCGTTCATCGTAATAGGATCGCATTTGAAGTTACGCGTTCTGAAAAGTTGGTCATTTGTTGATATAGAATTGCTTGCAATGCAACGACTCATTCTACGTAAACGTGTGCCATGTCTTAATTTTTTTTATACCGAAGCAGCCGCGCAGGCAAAAGCCTAAATGTCAGCTTAAAGAAACTTTGTTAATCCGATTTTTGAACTGCCTAAGTTTAGTTGAACTGGCAAAAGCCTCCTCTTGTAGGTTGTTCCACAATCTCGACATCCTAGGGACAAAGGAGCGGGTGTATCGGACAGTTCTGGATTTACAAAGTCCGACACGGCTAGGACGGGAAACCGAAGTTACGCGGGTCTGTCTGGAAGGCACTACACGTGGCGGCATCATGGAGGAGAACTCTGAGGTTCAAAGCGCATTGGCATAGCGGTAGAAGAGAGATAGATCGCCGACGGCTCGCCGGCGCGAGAGTCCCGAGGCTGTCCGTTAGAGAAGAGTCATCGACCAGACGGATAGCCCTCCTCTGAACAGCATCGAGCATGGGTAATATAGTCGGGGCGGCAGCACCCCAAACATGTGAACAATACTCGAGGTTAAGCCTTATCTGGACCTTGTACAGGGGGTTATGTGGAGAAACATACTTTTTAGCCCTAAACAAATAGCATAGCTAAACGGTCATCCATCCAATCCGCAAGTACGCTAGGCCGCCTGTTGTTCGTCAAAGTACAGTACCGTGTTTTGGGAAGCCTTAAACTGTACAAGATTGTTGCGCCCACAAGCAGTTATAACCTGAACAAGGGAAAATAAAACTATGGAGACTTTGTGCTCTCGTGAGCTTTCCTTCCTTCTGGGTTACAGTCTATATATAAAATATGTTTTAATCCTCAAGCCGTTGTGTATTGTGATGTAAAAATAATAAGATAAGACGGTTGTAAAATAAACATATATTATTTATTTTATAGCATGCGAATGAACGTTTTTCTAACAAAACGGCGTTCGCGTGAGTATATTTTGTCCTATTTTGTTTTTATTTCCACGTTCTGCTTTTATAGTCAACTACTGTTATGTTTATTGTGTTGTTGAATGTACTTTTGCGCGGCTGGTTAATATATAATATAAAGATAAGTCGCTATGTAATTATTGTAACGAGTAGCATTTATTGAAATTATCGAGTTATGGCAGTTACTGTACTGTTAAAACTACTATACTCACGTTTATTGGTTGGTACAGTTTCTCGGCAATATAAAATATAATTGAAGGCATGCTTAGCGCAATTGAATGCTATTAGGTGCTTTGTACACGGTATTAAGGCGGCTCCGACGCAGTGAGTTTCAGGCCATTTACAAGGGTTTAGCTGCTTCAGAATTGACGCTCCATTTTTCTATATATTTGAATAAAATTTATACAGTATGTTCAGAAGACAATTGTCCAGGGTGCTATAGAGCCACTTTTCTAAAAAAAAAATTTTTTCAGGAGTTATGGTGGGTGGAAGTGCAAATAATTGTTGTTCGACTTCTCGATTTTTTTAAAAATAACCCAGAGGAAAAAACGAAAAAGTGGCTCTATAGCACCCTGTGGAGTCTTGTTTTTAGTGCACTGTGAAAATTTCGTTGGAAAATATTCAAAAATGAAGCGTGAATTTTGAAGCGCGAAAACCTCTGCAAATAGGCTTTTACACGAATTTTATCCACTATCTCGTGCTGCCAGTCGAAGCAACGCGGCGGTGTGTACGGACTAAGATAATTTGTTGTCCCAAGTTAAACAGTAGCAGTTTTGACGTCGCTCGTTCGAGATAAACATCGGACCAGTAAGTGACATTTTTAATAGACTGCAATGAAAGAGGGGAAATTTATAATCGATTTTGATCATTTCTTTTTATACAATAGGCCATGCTTCAGAGGTGATACCACAAAAAATCATTTTTGTTCAATCACACCAATATGGATATCAAATGGAAGCACTTGTACAAAACAGTAATACGAAAACAGTTTCAGATCAAGATGGCGGCCGTCACAAAATGGCGGATAACATACTTGCTAATATCTCAAATAAGAGTCGTCGCCTTGTAGAATACAGTACTTCACTAAAAATTTGATTCCAAGATTGCCGCCGTTTCGAAATTGCGAGTTACATATTTTTGTACAAAACCCCCAATTTACATATCAAATGAAAAGACTTGACATGTGCGGTAAAATACAGAACTTTGTGACCAAAAGTTTCCAGGTGGTTCCAGGGTCATTGGAGGGGGTAATCTTTTTAGTTAAAAATAATAATTATAGTGAACGCATTTAACACAAATAAAATGTCACTTGCTGTTTAGCTTTAACCTTATGAAGTATCGTAAAATAAACTTAACACGATAAGCGTCATGAGATATAATGCGTGTGTCGCACCTCATTTGGCGCTTTGGGCCTCGTGACACACATGATATGTCCCATTGCTGGCAGTGATATTTGGCCGCGTAACGTAAGACGTGTGCCATGCTGATGTGATTTTCTTACGGGAATCAAGAGTCCGTGGCCTGAGGGACCAAATTATAATGAATTAGAAATGAAAACATTAAAAACCAAGTTGTTTATAGAGTTTTACAAAAAGAGGATATTCTACAAATCTAAAACAAAAAGCAAATCTTATAAAATACTCAGACATTCTCATTCAAAAATGAACAAAGTAATTTCACAGCAAATCAGTAAGTTATGGTAAGGTAAATTCACCTAATAACGACCCATTAAAAAGTCGATCCTATTACCGACCACTTTGCCATCATCTAATTTACAACAAAATTATTTGATCAAATCAAGATCTGCTCAAATTTCCCGCCTTGCTTTAGACGCCTGATACATGTAAAGGCGTTCCTGCGCAGTAACAATTACATATTCAAATCAGATCTGTCAAAAAACCGTTAGTTAGTCGACGACCTTCGTTTGGTCGAGTGTTTGGTGTTGCAAAAGACTGTTATGGTAAGTATCAATGAGTTTATTATTAAGCTTTTTAAAATAAAAATATTTACATTTATGCAAGTATTCAAGTGAAATATTGTGCTCATATTCATTTTTTTTCAAAAAAATATATTACTACTTAAAAAAATTGGACCAAATTTATGAAAACTGCTTAAAATCAATAGGGCGGCCATAGGGTAACATATTTTCATATTTTCCTATTACCGCCTTATATATCGCTATTACGATTATTCTTCGCATTTAATAAGGAGACATTTTTGGAATAAATATTACTTTCTTAATCTTCAAATTAACTTGTTTTGTACTTAACATGGCGAAGTATATTATTTTCGATTTCCGACCTATATAATATTTCTTCCTCTTCTTAATATTTAAAGTAGAATTCAGTCTTGCTTATATCCATATTATTCTAAATAATGCTACCTGGATTTTGAATGCAAAACTGTCTCTTTGTAGAAATTAGGAAAAGATTTAGTTAATTTTTACATTTGCGCAAATTGGGTAAGATGTTTACAGAAATATATCCTATAGTAGTTAATATCACGTGTAATTAGAGAAAATGATTGAAAGAAATAGCGCGGTAATAAGATAAAAATATTTTCTTTCCTCCCCATTGCCGACTTTAGATCCTTGTTAGGGAATTTTTAGAATGTCTTTTTAGGCATATTTTCAGAAACATGTATGATTTATTATCATAAAAACCAATTCTTTAGGGAGATTGCTCTTTAAAAAATCTTATTTTCTATTTTCGACCTATGAATTTATTGTTCTAGATCTTAATATTTTAATTCAGTTACTTCGCTTGCATTACTATTTTACATAAATTAGAAAAATACTTTCTGAGTAAATTAACTTTTTCAAATAAAATAGTGCTCAAGAAAGAGATTAACTTGACTCGGGCTCAACAGAAATTTTTTTGTTTATTTCATCAGACTGGCAAAAGAAAAAGTGGTAAAGATTTATAATTTAATATCGTGCTATTGGGTCAGTAATAAATAGGTTTATAGGTCTATACATTTTACCAATTACCGTCCTTTTTGTTTCAGAAATATGCCTGCAGAAATGCGGGTTAAATATACAAAAGATCAGCTATCTCGAGCTCTTGAAGCCATAAATAATGGAATGTCTGTCTATAAAGCATCCCAAACTTTTAACGTGCCGAAAACAACTCTTAGAGATAAACGTGATGGAAAGTACAAAAATGAAAAGTGTGGAGTTCAGCCGGTTCTTTCTAGAGACGAAGAAAGAACAATTGTTGAATGGATTGTCCATCTAGCAGCTCTAGGTTTTCCAGTCACGAAGTCACAGTTACTAGAAAGCGTTTCAAACCTGGTGAAAAATTTACAACGTCCAAATCCATTTAAGGATGGTAAGCCTGGAAACCACTGGTTTCAAAAGTTTATGGACCGTCACCCTGAAATTTCCAAACGTGTATCGCAAAACCTTACTACAAGTAGAAGTGCAGTTACTGAATTGGCTATTGAAAACTGGTTCAGAAAAGTCGAAGAATATTTTAGAAGCCAAAATATTATGGATATTCTTGAGGATGGCTCCAGAGTTTTTAACTGTGATGAGTCGGCTTTCTTTTTGTGTCCAAAAGAAAAGCAAGTTCTCGTTAGAAGAGGAACCAAGCTTTTTTATAACCGGGTAGCAAACGACGAAAAAGAATGTCTAACTGTTCTTGCAAATGTGTCTGCTGATGGCTCACCAGCTCCTCCTATGGTAATATTCCCCTACAAAAGATTACCAAAATTTATACCGTACACTGTTCCTAAGGGCTGGGGCTTAGGCTATACAGAGAGTGGCTGGATGAATTCAGAGGCTTTCTATGAATACGTTGCAAATGTTTTTTACCCCTGGCTGCAAAATCGTGACACTAAGTTTCCAGTGGCTTTATTTCTTGATGGTCATACCTCCCACATATCTTTAGCCTTAAGTGAATTTTGTAAGGAGAAGGGGATAGTATTAGTCGCACTTTTGCCTAATTCTACCCACATTTTACAGCCATTAGATGTGGCCGTTTTTAGACCAGTTAAAGCCACGTGGCGAAATGTGGTTAATGATTTTAGATTTAAAAACGAAGGGGCAAAAATCAGAAGAAGCGATTTTTCAAATTTGGTTAAAGCATGTTTTGAAAAATGTCTTAAACAAGAAACTATAAAGAAGGGATTTGAATGCTGTGTGGCCTTTTCCCCTTTAACCCCGAAAGTATTAATTACAGTAAGCTCATGAAAAAATATATACAAGAGCCGCAAGAACCAGTTTGTAATAATACACAGGATCAAAATGTAACAGGTCAGACAGATCATCATTTTAAAGAACAGCTGGAGGCTCGGCTACCTCTAGCAACACTAGAATTGTTCAAGTCTTCGGGCGATACATGGAATGGAGATCTCACCTATGAAAAACTATTCGTTTTCTGGAAGTCTCTTTAGGATAAACCAAGTGCAGAAACGGATATGATTTTAGATGACACCACAATCATAAATAATATTACCGAAAATATCAACGACTTTGACGAAAATGCCTGGGATACAATCGACTTAGAAATTCAAGGAGACGGCAACCTTTCAATATGCAATATTAAATATACTGAAAATGGCAGTTTACCAGGACCATCGGTTAACGAAGGCACTAAAAATAGTAATGCACTTAGAACAATAGAAAAAAACTATAATACCCCGGATACATCACCCGTGAAAATCTTACCTCACGATAATATTTTAATTGAAGAACACGCTAGTGAAAACGACACAAACTTAGATGTTGTGGCCACAACCGAAAAACCGAAAGAAAACCCCATGCTGCCAGTAGGTGAATCCGCAGAAGAACATATGTGCTTTAAAGTATCAACGCCGTTTAAAAACGCTTTTTACTTCCCTAAGAAAGTTGAAGATTCGACAAAGAAAAGAGCTACGAGAAAAATTACGCCAGTAGTAGCAATTTCAGATGAATTCATGGAGTATCAGAGAAGAATCGAGGCGGAAAAAGAAAAGAAGCAACATGAGAAAGAACAAAGAAAAATTAAAAAAAGTAACAAATCAATTGCTGAAGAAAAGAAAATTAAATCCTGAAAATAATTCTGAAAAAAACGTGGAAAAGAAAATAAGTAATTACAAAATTGGAGACTATGTAATAACAATATACGAAGGAGAACTCTTTCCAGGAGTTGTTTGTGGTTATGATGAGAATGGAATAATGGCGGGAATAACTGTAAAATCAATGGAAATGAGTGGACCAAACTGGAAGTGGCCAGAAAAAGATGATATATTGACCTACGATATCAAAGATATTTTATGTAAAATTGAACCGCCTGAATTAATAAACAGCAGGGGCATTTATAACATTCCAAAGATGGAAGAATTTAAAAAAAAGTCAACCTAGTTTTTCATAGATGTAGTCATGTTTTTGTATTTCAACTATTGTTGTGCTTATTTAGTAACTATTTATTTCACCCAAGTTAGTAAACTTACTTACCCATTTAAATACCTACTTGTTTTATTTCCATAAGCGGTAATAGGTGACAAAAAGTCGGTAATAGGAATAGAAATAGAAGTATAGGGCGCTAATGGGATATATCCACATTTTTTTATTTAATCAATTTTTTTCAAAACAAGCTTATGATAATAAACCGCTAACTCGATTTTTTTGTTTCCAATAAAATACTATATAGCACAGAGTCTTCACAATACCCATAAAATAAATACAACTCTAAATAATAATACCTAAACTTTGTTAAGTCTTAAGTAGGGCGGTAATAGGTGAATTTACCTTAAATGTCGATATTCTAACGAACACAAATATGGAGGAACTCTTATAAACTAAACAGATTGACAAAGTCTTATGCAGGAATAAACAAAATAACGGTATAAATAAACAGTAATACAGATAAATATGGAATTACTACAACTACTATCTGATTCACTACCACTTGGAGAATACGCATCAGATAAGTATACATCCCCACATAACTCAGTACTGCCACTCTCTTCATCCCCTAGTATTTCATTACACAATTGTTCAAGCCTTTTTTGCTCCGCTTCGTAATGCGACATCACTAAATTTGGTATTCAATAGTTTATAAACAGTAAAGCAATTTGGACAAGATGACGTACAATACCAACAACGCTTCAATAATAAATGACACGAAACAGTGCTCAACGCGCGACATGATGCAAGTCTTGACTTGCAAAAAACGCAACGCGACTTATGTGCCACGCGACCCGACTGGTCTGTGGGCCACGCGACATACAACTAGTAGCTCAGAAACAAAAATCAAAAAAGGGGAAAAATCATAGGATTTGAGAAAAAAGTCAAGTAAAAACATTAAACCGAAACTTAAAACAAGCTAATTTGACAATAATAACAGTTTGGCCCAGTGGACTGGATTTTCAGATACTACTGTGGCGCTTAACGTGTCAATGTGACATTTCAATATTCGCCATCTAACAGACTAGATAAAGCTAGCCGATGCTACGTGCTATTGAGCCTGATGATCGACTTTTATTTAAATAAACAATATATACAAAATATACAATAAATAGTGAACATCTGGTACTAGTACCAAAATGGAAGAGATTAGCATAACATCTCGCACATCGCTGCTAATGCGAGATCTGCACACCGCATTTGCCGACACGAAGGGGTTAGTAACGGCGTACAATGTAATAGGCTAATCTCTTCCATTTGGGTACCCGAGTACAGCAAAAATAGCCAATTCTCAAGAACTCTTTTTCTTGTTCAAACGGTTCTCTTGTGCCTTCAAGATCGCATCGGGATCGCGGATTGGCATATTTATGCTTTTCCTGGGATCGACCAGTTCTGGGAGCAAGCAGTTCATGTAGAAGAATTTCAATTTCTCTTCCATTTCATTTTTCCAGAAAACGTCATCCTTTTGAATGACGTCTATTTTCAAATCATACGGGGTCCAAACACCAAGCACACAGTACTCTCTTTGTGCAACGTGTAGCTGCCCTTGAATTTGGTAATACCACTTATGTTTTTTATTTATTTCATCGTTTATCCAAAACGTAATTTTTTTGTTCAGAATGCCCTCTTCAGGGGTCATTTCTTTAGCCGACCATGGACATTTAATTTCTAGCAGACCTTTTTCGCCTATCAAACCATCTGGCGATGCTGCCAGAAATGGATGGGTCCTATCAATAAACAACCCGCAAGATTGTACTTCTGATTGCGAATATGATTTCTCTATTTCTGCTTTTGCCACGCTTTCATGTTTTTTTTCCATAGTCACATGACTTGCTAAAGAATTCGGTTGGGTATATTATGGCGTTTACTAGAGCTCTGCAACTTGCTGTATCTCTTCTTCTACAAACCTCACCAAACCGAGACGCAGTCAACCTCATTCTTCGATGAAGACGCCACAAATTGCAATCCTGAGATTTTGTGGCTTGCTCGATCTGGGAAATTTCGGAGTCGGTTTTTGCAAGTTTTTTCAAGAATTCTACCTTGGCAGCCTCTATATCTCTTTAGTATCACTATCTCTGATTTTAATCTTCCTTGGTTTCAGCTTCCTTTTCAGATTTTTGTGCGCTCTCCTTTCTTCAACTTTAGCAATCAAAGAGGTTGGACTGAAACTAGGGAGTAGCAGCTTTTGGATCACACAAACAGGCCGCTGTGTATTGTGATTCACTACGGCTGCAGCACATCTTCCTTGGTAGGATCTCTTCTTGCAATAGTTAATCCGTTTACCCCCAATGAATTTAGCTATGATTGAGTTAAACTGCTCTACAATATTATTATCGACGTCATGAAGTAAACTTACTGCATTTTTAATCAGAATTGTCAGAAATGGTATCAGCCTCTGGAACAAATCTAAAAAAAAAAAGGGTATGCACACCTGAATTTGAAGATCCATGCCATCTGTCTCTGTTAGAGAATGCATATGCGAAAGCTTGCTGTCATTTTTAAGCTAAAATAACATATAAAATATAGTTATAATAGTAACTACGTATAGTCTAATTTATTGGCAAAATGAATGCTAAAATTCATAATTGTTTTGGTACCTACCTTTCTATCTGGAAAACGTCTTTTTTTCCTGTGCGTATTTAAATGCGGCTTCTTAGAGAAGCCACGTTTGTTTCTCTTATTGTTCATTTTTGGTACCTTGGTAAGAAAGACACTCAACAATAACAACACAACAATAACAACACAACAATAACAACACGATAATACAACAATACAATAACGGTAATAAGAGTAATGAGGGCTGGGTATACTATGCGCCAAAATAGGGAAACAGTCGTACGCAAGATCATATATCCAAATCAAATCCGACTCTGTGCAATATGCAAATTCAACCAGGAACGCGAACAGCACACCTCTGCGTATTACTATCCTTTTCTAACGTAGAGCGCTTGCCTTGTCACAACGCCGTCCTACTAGCGTTTCCCTATCACCCCCCCGATACCCCTCAGAAACTCTGCTTGACTGTGAGAGCACCGTTAAGCAAATTTTCCTAGTAACACAAACACCAAAGCTGTGTTGTTGGGTTGCAAAAAATCTGTGATATTAATTCTGACCCTGCCTTTTTCCAACAGAGGGTTAGGTAAAACGATACGACGTGCATAAGGATCCAATCCAGGCGACTTGCACCGTATAGGTAAACCGAAGTGTTTGGTTATAAATCAAATAAGACCTTAAATTTGATACTTCTATACTAATACTATAATTACTTGTCGTATTGAAAGTTTGCGGTGAATCTTCAAGACGCTGCTGACCCTTTGCGAGTATAGAGATTGTGTCCGTGGACGTTTTGAGTCTGCGACGCATATGTTTGTTTATCCCGTACAAAGGCCGTTTGGAGGTACACACAATAGAAGACCTAAATGGCCCCGAATGTTGGGGCGGTACTTGAACATTTTTTTCAAATAAAGGTGTTTTTCATACATTTTTATTTCGCTTGTTCGGCGTTGTTTGAATGCGCGCTAGTTTTGATGTTGTACTTTCTAAAAATGAAATTCCTAACTTTCATGACCGCCTGCAAAAAAATAAATAACGAATAGGTCATCACTTTTAAATCTCAACGTCAACGGGCTTTGCTCCTGAGAGCTCTCTTCCATGATGCCGCCGCACGATGATTGCCAGACAGACCTGCCTGATTCCGAAGCGTGTCGAACTTCATACCGCCGGTACGACCGCTCCTTTGTTCCTAGGGTTTCGAGGTTATGGAGCAATCTGACTCAGTTCTACTAATCTTAGGCAGCTCAAAAATCGCATTAACAAGTATAGCAGCCGTGGTACCCCGGTAAGTATTTATATTCTGCCTACGCGGTTGCTGCGATATAAAAAAATGAACTTTTTTCAATCAATGTAGTATGTACAGTTGGCATGACAGAGTCCTTCCTGTTCAAAGCCCCCAAAAACTATGAACAAAGTGTTCGTCCGTCTGCTAGTAGATAGACTACAGACCGCGCACAAGCTTGGAGTGACAGTTGAATCGCAATTTGCAGAGACAAATGAAGAATACCCGTGACAACGCTCTTTCTGTGTGTATGTGTATATTTATTACAACAGGCCTAAGCTCGGACGTCGTGTACCATGTGTGGCAACATTCGTGTTTCCATTCTTTTTTTGTAAAAGAAAATGTATGCGACATCTGCTGAACAAAGACGAGTAGGCGTATGTGTGCAGAGAAAATTTAATTGCTAGAAGGTTGTTCTTATTTAAATTTAACTGAAAACGTTTCAAAAAAGGAATTAGGTTATAAAATCACTATCGATGTCTTCATTCTTTGACCTATAGCAAGCTCATAGTAATAAAAGGTCCTAATACAATGGTGTGCTTCGAAAATCGAGTGAGAAACAACTACTGATAATTTGAGATTCTTTGTACCAAAATGACTTTAGTTGCAGTCTCAGTTTGTCTTTAGTGGTCTGAGAATCGTAGACAAAAGATCGATGTTCAACTCAAATCAGACGCAAGTTCCATCAGCATTTTTTTTATATACCGTAGACAGAGCCTAAATACCGAGGCAACGCGCCTTCAATAACGAGCTGAAAAACATCCTGTTAATTTGATTTTTGAACTGCGTAAGGTTAGCAGAACTGGACATTTCTTGTTAGCAAGGTCTCGTGTTTTGGAAGCATTAAGCTGTACCAAATTTTTGCGTTATCAAGCAGTGATTACCTTTAGATCTCTCATTGGGGAGGAAGTCGTCGCCAGTCTTCTTCTTCTCTAGCTTACCGGCAGAAATCGGTTGTCACTCCGAATCCCTGCATGTAGAGTGCTGTCGTCAGCAAAATTGTGAATTAGATTTATAGTACAGATAAGCAGTTCATAGAAACTATGTCGGATCCAAGACCGAACAAAGAACAATTCTCTGGAAACAGTGTCTGTGGAAGTTTCCAAATCAAAACAAAATAATGATAGTTTTTCAACTTTTTGATACTATTACTACTATCCTGTTTTTTCCAATATCGACTAAGCATGACTTTCCGTATTGTATGTATAGACCTGGAAGTTGTATTATTAGCCATCTCTTCCATTCTCAAGATCATTCTGAAATTGATATACCTTCGGAGTGCACTAAGACATTGACTTTGGTACATTCGTACTAACAGTAGAGCTAGTACGTAAAAAAAATTTAAATTACACTAGTGGCATAGAAATTGGGAAATTTTGGCGTCTGAAGAACAAAAAAAATTTCATACGCCGCTTTCTTGGTATTCAATTGTACATGAATTGCCTCTCTTGGAGAATAATCGAGATAAAATCTGTATAAAACGATCAACCTGTCCTACTTTAATAATACATTGCAGTTAGTTAGTTTGACATTGAAACATTTGAACAATATTCATGTTTGGTGCTTGTATCGTCTCGTTAGTAACTTAGAAATTTACAACTCCGTGAATCTTGATAATGGGACGTTTCCGGACCTGTCTTTATGGCAACTTTTTTGTTATTTTGGGATGTACTTTCTAGTTCAGGAATATTAACACGTTTTTCTGAATCACCCTGTATAAGTAAGTGCATCCGAGTTCAAAACTTCCACAGTGCAGACATCTCGGCGATTTGTGAGCTTGCTACTACTACCAGCATCCTCCTTATTCTACAACCGCTCTTGTACAAAGTACGCGAACCCATGTTATGCAGTACCATGCAGTACTATTACCAGCATATTATTCAAGGGGACCTCGCCGCATTCCTTGTAACCTACGATCAGATATGGTAACTGGGGGCAGATTTTGATGCTTCTACCCATCATCTGACATCAGATGCAAAGGTCGTACCTCATATACAGCCGGAGTACCCTTCGAGTACGCATGGCACATGCATACCACGACGGCCATCGTGGTACCCGAGAACAAGTTTTAAACGGCGCACATTAGGTATGCGCATATATCTGATTCGCGACACGACGAAAGGTACTTGCTGAGAAAAATGTGATGCTTGGGTTTGTGCTGGACGTGAGGAATGCTCTTGATATTTCGGTACAAAGAAATAAAAAAAATGGTTTGATTTTGCTTATCAGATTTTGCTAGCTTCACGAATGAAATTGTACAAAATGTGTGATGCTGTACTTCCCACGCAATTGCAGACAAATTGACTTTGAATATGCAGCATGTGCAGTATCTAAAGGTGGCTACAAACACAACTGCAAGCTTATCCAGCATGCTTATTCAATCTTTTTGTACAAGTATGCACAATTTGCCTTTGGCGCCACACGTACAAGCATGCTTGATAAAAATAGAGGTAGTTTAATTAAATATGTCGAACTCCGACGGCGATTCGCTCGCTATGGCCGCTTTTGTTCTTGTGAAGAACAGAAAATCCCGAATAAAAAACCGTGCGGTGTGGTGTAAAGAATGGTTGATAAAAGGGAAAACCTATTCTCACATTTACTTACTAAGTGACCTGAAAATATATCCGCGTGACTGGCACAATTATCTTAGAATGGATGAAGAGATGTATTAAAACCTTGTCTCTTGTATCACCTTTGATTCAAAAGCAGGATACGATCATCAACGAACCCCAACTTGTGCATGCTTGAAAATCTTGGGTAAACACGTACTGTTTTGCTTGCGCAAGCGCGCCTAATTGAAGCATGCATAATTAAAATCAATTCAATCCTCAAGCTGCTTGTACAATTACAAAGCTTGCACCACATTTCCCTACAGACATTCAAGCGAGCTTGTACAAAAACATTGAACAAGCAACTCTCAGCCAGCCATCGATTTCAAGAACTTTACATGAGGTGTTCGGAGCATTCAACGCTCCAGAAATATTGAATAGATATGTCCATTTTCCAAACACAATTCAAGAGTTAACCAACACCAGAGAAAAGTATATTTCTATTTAGAATTATAAATATATATGAGGAACTATCATGATGTTGTCCTACACTATGTTTCTTCAAAGCTATTCAATAAGATGATCAAAATTTGATGGTCAAGCTGTACCTATATTGATTTTATTTTGTCTACATTTTTCGCAAAGTGCCAGGTACCTGGAATTATAGGCTGTATTGATTGCACTCACATAGGTATTGTGTGCCCAATCGAAAATGAATATATATATATACGAGTATATATATCAATAGGAAACGTTACCATTCCCTCAATGTACATATGGTAAGTTACCCTTACATCCATGAATGCATGAAATAATTTTAATTTCCATATAAAGAAACTTTCAATGCACAAAGCGTCAACCCCTAATCAAAATTTCTCTGACTCTGCATAGATTACAACTGAAATTTTGCAACAAAGTCAACCTGCATACTTGACACTTGTTTATTGCAGATATGTGATAAAAATTTGAAAATAATGAACGTAAACAGTCGCTTTCCTGGCAGCACCCATGATAGTTTTATATTGAGTCAGTCACGAGTCGAGGAATTTCCGAAAACATTGTCTGAAGAATATATGGGCAGGTGAAACAGGTCGCTATATGTTGTACCCTTGGATCTACTAAAAGATAGTATTTTCTTTTAAGGTGACTCTGCCAACCTCAGCTTCTTTCGGTAAGGTGTATAATAATCCTAATTCTGGCACTTGGAGCCCTTCAATTAAGATTTCTCCCCCGAGAATACAAAAGAGGTTTTACATTTACTGAAAGTAGTGGAGATACTACAATGGAGCCAGATAGAACTATGTAGATCATTTACATTGTTTACGTGAATAATAAATCTCATCAACACTTAAATCACAGTAGATCCATACTTTGAGTATCAATATCAAGAAAAAAACTGTCATCTAATAAAAACATTTAACAAATGACTAAAATATTAGTCATCCATATAAGAATTATGACCATACCCATTATTTCCAAGACTTTGTCATCGATTTCATTCAGGCTCTCTGCCGAGCTTGGTCCACCTCCGGTCTGGCTAGCTTCCTTTTTATTTTCTGACTTCTCGATGAGTCTCTATTGCCGTGTTTTAACGATAGATCCTAGTATTCTAGTGAATTCGTTATTACAACAGAAGTACCATGCCTAACTATGGATGTATGTCGGTCAATAGCATATTAATATCAATACAAAGTTGCAGATATGTTACATGTACCTTTCCCCATTCAGTACATTGCTTAGTGGCCCCAGGAATTGCATTTAACTTTTCGCTCAACTCCACCCATAACTTGCGGGCGTCTGCACTGGTGTATTGGTTTGTTTGTTTTTGAGACACCAATTGTGGGTGGTCTTCCATGAAATCAATTAGCATAGTTTTTTGTAACGAGACATTTCGAAACTAGAGTGACGCTGACAAAACGCAACTGACAAGTCGCAACCATCATAATGCCATAAATAGAAACTTTTGTAGTTCTGTGGTTATATAACATTGGTGACATTGGAGACAAATATGTTGGTAACACTGGAACAAGCACCGTTACCACTATGTGCCAAGCGTTTTGAACCCGAAGCGTTCGCACAGCAACGTGAATACCAAAACCGAACGCTTAGCGCTTTGCCGTACGACATGAGGCGCTAAGCGTTTTGAAAACGTATCGCTTTCAAGCCAAAGAACGAGAATACCGGCCCTGGTATCTTTATTTGTCGACGGTTATGAAGATCCTTATACCTTGACCGAAGACCGAGAATAGTACTAGTGAAAAGTAGCATTATTGACTTGAAAGAATTGAAATTATGGACTTTGAATATGCATATACAGCATGTGCCGTTTAAGCAAACCCTTACATTCTTATACTAGAGGCAATCCATTGATGTCCTTTAGATAATCCTAACGTTTATTTAATACTGACAGTAGGAATTCGCACACATTCTCAGCTGTATACCCGTTTTACGTTCAGCACAATGTAAGAGAAATGTTGATCCGACGCATACGCACCAAAAAATAGCTGATTCTTTCTCTCATTTTCTTGTAACTGCCGCGTATTGCATGAAAATCAAATCAGTTGGAAGTTTGTCTTCAGTTGTGGTGGAATATTTAGTCACTTACAAGTTACAAGTGTATGTAAATGTCCGCATGGGTATCATGTAAAAAACCTATAAAACGTCAAAAAACACTTATGTCATCTTGCAAACTAGGTACACGCATTATTGGTTGCTTATATTTTGTGAGGCCAAATGGACCTTGTCTGTAGTTTTTATCTCTGAGAAGAAAGTTGATTGAATAGCAAGATCGCATCTGGATGATTATTTGTATTGGTCTGCATGTGTATAAAATCAGTGATATTTGCTGTGTGAGAAAATCATTACTGAATGTGCTGCCAATGAAGTATATCTATTGACTGTGCCCGACGGGTTATTTTTATGTTGGGCTTTCTGAAGAGAGGTTATGTTCAAAGTTATAAATTACGAAAATCTGAGGAAATTTACGGGAAATCATCACCGCGCCCCAGTTGTGTGTAATGAATCAGCAAATTTGTATATGTAATTTCCAGAATGGATAAGAAATAGTGGATGCGCAACCAATTTCTAGCTTTTAATCTCAATTAAGTGTATTTGAAACAAGAACTCAATGTAATTATCACCAACACATACTTACAGCTTAGACCTCCAGTAATGCCGTCTCAGAAGCAGATTTTACATCACATCAGAGCCAAAGATTGATAACAAGCCTCATGACGTTTAGGCAACACGTACAACTAAGTGCTAAGTCAACGTCTTGGCGAAAAACCTACATAATGTCAAAAAATCAGCATAATGTCAAAAAAAAATCGGCATAATGTCACTTTTCAAGATACGTGATACCCGTGCCGGTTGTTTGTGTTGTTTTATTTCCTTGTTTATAGACATACATTTCTGTTTTGATGTTGGATGGTCGGCTATTGAAACTAGTTTTTGGATACTAAAACCATCTGTTGTGAAGGATAAAAAATAAAACCAACATTATAGGTTAGGGTATATTTTTTTTGTTTAAGTTGGCTTACCTTGCGCTTTTGAGTCGAGGAAACAGAGCCGTCTTGCAACTGCAAGTGATTGGATGCAATTGTCTTGCAGACAAAACAATGTCGACTTGCAACTGCACATGCTATTCTGTTGTGGACTGTAAAATGGTTTTTAGACACAAAACACTACACAAGTTCATAAGGCTTGGTCCTTTTCAATCGTCACACTGCATTGTAGTTGTCCAGTAGCTGAAAAGCTTCTGCATTGGGGTGTTGATCTCGTCGATAACCAAAGGTATACTTAACTCGCTGTGAATATCGCCATTACGATCATACCAAATAGTTGACAACCATAGAACCATACTGGTTTTAAGAACTCATTATAAACCATGATCTTGTTATGGAACGGTAGCGATGAAGATCCTCTCAATTTTTGTTTACTTTCAAGAAGCCGCGCAGGCAGAAGCCTAAATACCAGAGCCCCGGCTGCTGTGAGTAGCTTAAAGAAACTTTTTTGATCCGCTTTTTGCCTAAGGTTAGTAGAACTGGGAAAAGCCTCCTCATGTAGATTGTTCCATAATTTCGATACCCTAGGGACAAAGGAGCTGTCGTATCGTTCAGTTGTACGAAGTTCTACACGGTGAGGATGGGAGGCCCACGTCAGGCGGGTATGTCTTGTAGGGTCATCTTGCCAATAACTAATAATATTGCTTATATCGAGGTTCAGTTCTTCACTTTTTTTTTTGATATTGTGCTTACACTTGAGTCAAGGCCCATAACGAAATATTCAGAGTTTGTATTCAATGGTATAATGGTGCCGTTAACGCTTATTTTGGAGGAGGACTTGTCCATCTTCGTTTTGTTAAACAAACGTGTATAGATTTCAACTCGTACAATTTGAATTTCCACCTCTGGGGCCATTTCACTAAATTATTGGTAACAGTCTGAACTTTGCTAATAGAGTTTAGTAGATCTTTGTCAGTTGCATTCAATGCTGTATCATTTGCAACAGCTGCAACTTTCATGTCGCTCATAGCAGGAATATTAGATATGTACGAAAGATAGAGTACCGAACCTAGAACACTCCGCTGGGCTACTCCAGCATTGATATCCAAGATTAGAATACTCATCTCGTTGCTTAACTCTGAAGGCCCTTTGAGATGTATGACATAAATTCTGTTAAATGTGTTGAATTTAAAGTGTTTTTGAAACAATCGGCTCTGACTATACATGGACAACTTGGTATGTTCTGATGTCCTTAATTCAGATCGGACCCTCCGCAGGTAAAGGATATCGCGTGTTTCTGGGGAGCTGGTGTTGCTGGAGTCAAAAACGTAAATATTATGCGAAATATTTATGATATTGGGTCTAACAGGTGGTTAATACCACCGGGATCATTTCATCGATACCAAAAGTTACATCCTCTATCCCAAACGAAGTTTCATAGATTTTTTTCGTGTTTTGCCCTAGCAGCAAAATCCGGCGGGCACTTTTCAAGTTATATCTGGGCCAAAAAAGTTCTAAATTTAAACAAGCATATTAACAAAGTGTTGATCTTGTTTAGAACGTATTTCAGTAAAAATTATTAGACTGACAAAACCGCATTTTGAAAGATGATACGGGGTGTTGTCGATATTTAGGTTAATGCTTGGATCCAGGATAATTTAAGGATTATAGGTTTTTTGACTGTTCTATATCCTTGCGGGGATCCATTGCTAAATATCTGTCTCAACCTGCCATCCTCTGAATAAGAAGTTATGATTGTACTATAAAGCAGCTTACGGTAACGTTTGCGGTTCATACGTTTATGTTCAATAAATTGCTGGTATATTCACCCCTTTAGAAGCGCCTTTTCATCCACTTGCACAATTTAACGCTGTGGCTCTGAACAATGTGCCATTATTGTTGTTATACATTGTGGAGTTTCTCATTTTATACGACGGCATGTCGGAAATTGATCACTTCAAAGCTGATCCGATAATGTTATTCATAGAGTGCACTCGAGACTTGAGAATGCTTGATTTGAATTCGTGACGTTGCTTGTGTTTCATGAGGATGTCATCAAACTCGACGCGACGATGCAAGGTAAGGCGGTAAATCTGTTTTATAGGCATTTTACATTAACTTGGGAAGTTACAGGGTAGATTATATTGCTTCCTTGTTTTATACTTAGGTTCGGTTACTTGATTTAATTTTGAATTGAGCCCGAGTTGATTTGACGGCGTCGTGCGATACCTTTGAGATATTCTTTGTGCTTAACACCGCCTTTAAAATGTATCATTTTAAAATGATCGTGTGGTTTATATGTTGATAATCCCCCATGCTTGTCTGGCCAATGAAACCACATGTTTGTATTGATAGATCTTCTTTACTGTAGTAAACGTTTCAATTACTAAGGTGATCTTCATTCCGAATTTTGTGGTGCCATCTTAAAATTCGAAATCATGACTTCGCGCAATCTCAGCATGTTGCTGGACTTTCAGACTAATGTAGTAACACACTACATAGGAATGCGATAATGAAATAAAAACAAACGAACTGTCACCTGGAAGACAGATAAATCAAATATTGTCATTTTTTTGGGAAGATCACCTTTGTAATTGAAACATTTTATTGGCCAGTCAAGTGTTGGGATATTACCGCCTACTTAATCGTACTTAAGTGCGGTTGTAAAGTATATAGCAAGGAAATTCATAATTTGAAAAATACAATGTTTTAATTTTTTCATATTTGGGCTATCTATACATAGTTATTGCTTTCGGTCTGTCTGCCGAGACATTCAGCTTATCCAATTTCTTAGCGGAAAAAAGCCGAATACTTTCTTTACTTGAGGAAAACAGTAAATTTTCATTTTCTTAGGGTGCGATATAGCTACAAGTCACTTTTGTGAAGTAGGCATATTAAAACGAGCGAGTATTGATATATTCTTAGCCTGCTAACTACATTCAACATAGTCTCCGTTTAATTCAACACAATTTTTACACTGATCCTGTACAGCTTCAAAACCTTTCGAAAAAAACAGCTTTCCACGGCTTCTATTGTTCAAATAAAATTTGCAGCCTCTTATACTTCTTTCAGCTTCGGAAACAGCTGATAATCAGAAGGTGCCAAGTGAGGTGAATAAGGAGGGCCAAATTGCAAAGCTTTGTCATCGAAAGGTGTGATTTCTGTGCTGGTGCATTGCCATGCAAGAACACAGCACATTTGGAAGTCTTTCCGCATATTTTATTCAAAATTTTTTCCCACACTTTTTACAAGAATGCTACATAATATTCTCCCGTTATGATCTGCCCCTTGTCTAGGTAATCAGTGGAAATGATACCACGATGGTTCCAAAACACTGAAGCAATCACTTTTCCAGCAGATTTTTGCACACGAAGTTTTTTTGGCCTTGGAGACTACTCAGAGTGCTTCTACTCCATGTATTGTTGTTTCGTTTCAGAATCGTGAAAATATACCCAAGTTTCGTCGATTGTCGCTAGACTGTTCAGAAAAGTCGGGTCTTTTTTAAATCGGACAAGGATTGCACGCGATGTTTCCACTCGTGCTCTCTTCTGAACCGCGTTCAGGCATTTAGGAATCTATCTTGCATAATTGTTTTTCACGGCTAAATCAATATGAATGATGTTATGAATGCATTCGTATAAAATTGTCAGTCTCAGGTATACGTTTTATTCCAATTCGACCGTCTGGTAATATCAAATCATGAGCGGCATCGACATTTTCCGGGGTTGACACTGAACCAGGTCTTCCGGTTTCTCATCATCTTGAATGGATAACTTGCATCTTCAGATGCGGGCAACCCAATTTTTTACAGTGGCATTTGAAGGGGAGTCATCGCGAAGGCGAAGGACCATGTCCTCGTAAATTGCCTTGCTCCGTAACCCCTCCAAATATAGGTACTTGCCTCCATATTCTATTTAATCCATTTTCAGAATCGCGGCAGATATGTTTTCTTTGAACAGTTCTTGCTTCGTAATGCTTAAACTTAGTGACATGAAACTTTACCCCTTATGAGCAATTTAGAAAAACCTCCCTTAATTTTATCACCGTTGAGTACTGTGTGGTAGCTGATAATCGAGCCCTAAGAAACCCCTGCGGAGGCTGTATACAGGGTCTAGTTGGATCTTGATTAGTTACGCTTCCTTCAATACAAAATCTGTTTAGAAAGCAACTCATCACAAATATGCCAGATAATCACTAGTAGTATCTGAAAAAAATCATTCGCAACGATATCAACTCGTATTCAGTTAGAAAGGATAACCCATTTACCCGAGTGACTATAACGCAAAATACGCGCAGAAGGTAGTTTCTGAACCAGAACGATTTATTGGCGATAACATCAGACGCTGGAAGGATACATATATATGTTACAATCGAGATCGAGAAAATGTTAATTAGCTTATTTCAGATCGCCTGATTGATTTAAATATGTTTATACCCTCATTTTGTAATGGGAGCAAAACCAGTTTGGTTTGCGCTGAAAGATGGACTATCGGTTACACGACAGTTCAATTATTAAACGTGAATTTTTTATTGTATCGCAATCGAATTCGAGCTGTCGATGCATATGAAATTATGAGTTTTATTGGAATAACCTTAGTTGTCATGCATACAAACTGTAGAAGTTAAAGCTGCTTCCGTCCACCAAATTTTGGAAATGTTCAGCTTAAGCAACTGAAAATTCAATTAGATTGCTTGATTTTGTTAAAAACTTTTTTAAGTCATTGCTTAAATATAAATAAAAATGGAGACAGGTAAACTGATCCAGTATTTTCCAAGTATTTAAATCATGATGTAAATCAATTGTTTCAATTTTAATCGCGATTTGAATCAAATTACAAATTGAGTCGCCGAAGCGTTAGTTTGCATACGCTATATCGGTATAAAAACATAACTAATCCTTATCAATCCAATGTAAATATTCATAAATTAAACTTAAGAAAATACAGTTTATAACAAAAACAGTTTAAAGTTTATAACCTTAGCCATATGAATAAATAATAGCAAATGAAAATTATTAACGAATACATGTGTACAGTGAATAAAAACGTTACTCAGACTAAGTTTCAAAAAACAGAAACACAAAATATGTGTTTGGGAAGTCAATTGTAATAACAGTTGTTTAATGGTGGGCATGGACATCAAACATTATGTCGGTAAAAGGATCTGATTTTGCCAGGAATTGAAGTATGGAGAGAATCTACTGGGAAGCATTTCTTTTGCGGCTTTCAAAGCACAACTCTTTCCATCGTCTGCTAATAGTTGTTGTGGTTTTGACAGTTAAAGAAGATATGTCAACAGATGAAATGGAGTGATACATTGTTCGTATTGGTATCTAAATATTTGTATCTGACTTGAAGTGAAATCTGTCTCCTCAAACACAGATTCGAGATTGATGAATTCTTGTCCTACATCACAAAGGGTTGCATCAGTTGTTTGAAGCCTATCAATGTCAACAGAAATAAGCTTTAGAATCGCTTAACAGTCTTTCACTTCACGTTATCAGGTAGAATACATTCACATTTGTTTCGTCCTTTTTCGTGTATGTATATTTCAACTGTCCTTTTTTAGACACCCTACGATTTAAATAAAAAAGGATATGAAATAGGAACACACAATTTACTTCTGGGCCGTATGGACCGACTATAAGTTAAGAAATATATAAATATAAATATGATCCATCACGACAACAACAACGTCAACACAAGTTTCTTGTATGTCACCGAGGAGATTTTCTTACTAATCTAGACAACAAATATTTTTGGGCGAATATAGAAAAATAATGAAAATAAGTTATTTCAAAGTTCATTATTGGTGTATTTGAGGAATAAACCAGTACAAATTGATAAAAATCACGATTTAATTGAAAAAAAAAGAAACAGATTTTTTGATTTATCCAAAAAATCCTGATTTTTTGTAACACTGAAATGATGATTGACGATGATGAATAAGAGACACGCTCATTTCAAAATCTTCAGCGCCCTCGATTGTTTTACTACGCCCTGCATTGAACTTTAAAAGTCGAACAACAAAAATTTGTACATAACAGGCTACTCGACCAAACCTCGTTTCACGGATGAATGGGGTGTGTAGATCACAAATCTTAATTTTCGGCGGAACACTACGGAAGTTCAATTTTTACACCTCAAATAAGGCTTCGTGGCGTTTAAGAAGTATTTGAAGGCCATATTCAAAATCCCAAACTACTCCCATTGATCAAGTTTCGCTCGTTTATAATTTTGCATTGAGAAACTTTAAAGCTAAGAGGACATTGAAATGAAATTGCAAAATTCTTTTATAGCTACAATGTCGATCAAAATTTGTTTCTTAAGAAAATCGGGTCCGTAGATCACAAATCTCATTTTCTAGTTTTTTGCTCAGATCTACAGGTCGTTCAGAAAGCCCCATCTTTCTATCTCAAATAGAACGTCCCGACACTTACGATTATTTGAAGGTCATATCTGAAGTGATCATCCCAAATTACCATCAGAGTACCAAGATTTGTTCGTTTGTAACAGCGGTAGGTGAACTTCGAAATGTTGAAAAATTAACGCAAATTTGACATCGCCGTGTTATGCGGTCGTCACTGATACCGGTTTTCTGAAGAGTTAAGATATGCTATGGTTTAATGGTGGGTTCAATAACTGAGCTGACATCTAGCGGATTATAAGTCTCTCTGCGACTTAGCCCATTCCCTTAACATTTAAGTGATACTGTAATGACAAATTTTTCTGTAGTAGTGAGTTGATTTCTAAACAGATGTTTACTGTTGTTTCCTAGAAAATATGCAGCTTCTCTAAAAAATGAATTTGAAAGCTGAATGCGTCAACAGGCCGGAGAAGATGACATTACTACCTTATTACCTGAAACACTGTATTTTAAAAAAATGTCCCCCAAAAATAAGCTAATGACAAGCTAAGTCGACATAATATAAACTGGAGAGCATAACTGTAGCGCTACCAAGAACTTTCCGCTTTCTTCCGGTTGGTTGAAAAGTAACTTTAGTTATATATTATTACGACGTTGATCTGGCACCTGCTCATACCCAACCTAGATTCATGACTGGTGCAGGACCCCCTGATCTCCCAGACTAGCCACATAACCAGTTCTCTCATTACTAGGTACTCCACTATGTCCGGAGACCCAAAGCAGGATCACTTCTTTGGATCGGGCTAAACTTTGAAGAGCGGTAGTACAGTCCTGAACTAGAGGTGAACTTTCCCTCGGAGATCCTACTGCCTTCAGAGCTGCTGTCGGAGTATATAAATATGATCCGCTTGTGCAGTATTGAAGCTCCTTTATGTGTGCCATTTCAATTTCCTCCTGAAATACGCACACTCGCGTCGACTTACGCCACCGAAGCAGACGCCAAGGAGTCATTCAAATCGTCTCCTCAGATACCGACTGGATCGGCGAATGAAGCCAGACCGGTGTAATATAAAAAACATTTTTATATTTAATTATGACATTCTTGCGTGCAAGCCTTATTAAATTATCCGACTATAATAGGGAGTCGTAGCCCGATTATAATAAAACAGGTTTTTATTAAATTAAGTCTTTACCGAGACCGCAAAACCATAGACGTGTGTGCAACTGAACCGACGAGTCATACTGCACAGCATCGCCACACAGAACACCTCCTTTTTCAGGTGTCAGTATTTTCATTTACGTTTTTATCAAACCATTTCACGCGTATCCATCTCGTTCTAGTCGATAGTTAAAGTCAAGATTAAAATCACAAATAATTAAAGATAGTGCTGAATAGGTTGACTCCAACCCGCGTAGTTATGTAAAACTGTTTATGAAAATATTAAAATCATAAAATACTCCTCAATAATGAGTATCTCGATTATTACCAGAACTTGCGCCTGCCGTTAGGTCCAATCAAATTCGTTGTCTTTCATCATCATTTTCAGGGATTTTTGTAAATTATCCTGTCGCTGCTGTACTTTTCGTCCATGGTTTTGTCAAAAGAGCAACGGTTTTATAGAGAGGTCAAGTTATCTGTCGTTTCTATGCAGATGTTCCTCCACGTTTGACTGGCCGATAAATGAAACCACATATTATGCTTGAACTTTTGTTTACTGACGACGATTTTCAGCCAGCACAGAGGCCTTTTTCAACTACAATTGAAAACTCTGATGACACTACCGGCTGTCCTGAAAGTTGGTAAGTTCCTTTTCAGGAATAACTACGTCCGAAATAGCAAAGCTAATGTGTGAAAAAATTTAAATGAAATTAGAAAAAAAGTACTCACTAGTTCAGTACTACCCTGTCACTTCTTCTTCTCGTAAGTACTGTTGAACTTGTCGCCCTTTTAAAAACACGAGTTTGTTAACTTCTTGTTACCGCATCCGCCTCGACTGCCTTTGCCCTATGTAGACAAACCTACCTCGTGGTGGAAACGTCGATCTGAATACACTTGCGATGTATCAATATATTCTTAAATACACTGGCCGTAAATTGACATCAAATCGGTAACTTCGTTATTGGTATAGTAATTTGTACAGGGTGCGGCAGAGAGAATGGACGGTTTTAAAAAAATCATAAAATAGTTAATTTTTACTCGAAAACAAATTTATTGATGGGTTCAGGTTCACAAGGAAATAGCATTTGAGACAGTCAAGTGTGGAAAATCACATCAGGCATGTGGTGGCCGAAATCGTTGATGCATTGCTGGAGGCGTTCTTGGAAGTTCGCGTAAACTCTTTCCAACATCGCTCTCTCAACTTGGGCGACTTCCACGCGAATTTCGCCCTTCAATTCGTCCAGAGTTCGGGGCTTGTTCGCGTATACTCTAGCCTTGAGGTGTCCCCATAAGAAAAAATCGCATATGGATAAATCTGGGGACTGAGGAGGCCAATGAACATCGCCAAACCTGGAAATAAGGCGACCAAGGAAGAGAGGGCGAATAACGTCCATGGATGCTCGAGCTGTGTGGGCGGTCGCCCCATCCTGCTGGAACCACACACGTCGGATTGGAACACGTCGCCGTCGTAATTCAGGGAGAAAGAAGTTGGTGATCATGTCGACGTAGCGCTCTGAGTTCACGGTAACATCACGACCATTACCGTCTTCGAAGAAGTAAGGGCCAATGATGCAAGTTTGCGATACAGCGCACCAAACCGTTACTTTTGGGCTGTGCAGCGGTCTTTCGTGTAACTGTTGCGGATTTTCATTAGCCCAATAACGACAATTCTACTGGTTAACCATGCTGTTTAGGTGAAAGTGGGCTTCGTCACTCATAGACAAAATGAGGGTCTCATTTTGATCGATCAGTGCTTCCGTCTCACGTCCGAAGTTCATTCCTTGTGCATAATCTCCGGGCTGTAACTGATGCACAATG